CCTGGTAGTGAGTCTGCCGCTCTGAGTGGTTACAGCATTGGGCAGGCGAGTCCCCGGCTGCTGGGTCCGGGAAGGCTCTCCAGGGAAGCGGATGTGTGAGGCCTTGTCCTCCTCTTCCTCCATCTGGCCTGAACCACGGGAATGAATGGAGACATGGTGTCTGGAGGCGAACGCTTATCCCTCCTGTCCCCCAGACCTTCTAGCTCAGTGGTCGCCAACCTTTGGACAGTTGGCGACTGCTGTTCTAGCTGACCTCAGGCTGCGGGGTCTGTACGTTTGGTGGTGGCATACGTGAGAAACCTTCTCCCCAACACTCCCTGCATGCCATGCCATACTGTGTTCCGTGCTCACCCTGCCCCGGCATGGATGAGAGGCAGGATGCAAGGTGCCCCGTCTCCTGGGGGTTGCAGACTTTGGCAGATTTCACAAATGGCACATCTTGGAATGGCATTTTACTAAAATTTGAGAGAAAATTTTTTGAATGTTAAAACAAGGGTAGTGAGCCCTGGCTGGTGGATAAGCATTGGCCTGCACACCAAAGGGTGGCATCGATGCCCAGGCGAGGGCATGTATCTGGGCTGCAGGTTTGATCTCCCGGCTCTGGTCAGGTGCGTGTGGGAGGCAACCAATCGACGTGTCTCTCTCCCCCTCTCCCTTCCACTCTCTTTAAAAATCAATGGGAAAAATGTCCTGTGGTAAAGATTAACCAAAAACACACACCAAGGATAGTGATATATGATGTCAGGTGCAAACCTTGCCTGAATTTTAAAAATAAAACGAGGACCTCAGACGTTTCAAGCTAGTGGCCGATGCCGAGCAGTGCAGGCCGGGCCGGCAGGGCCAGGCGGGGGGCCTCTGGGTGTCTTGTTGGAAGGGCTTTGCCTCCTTCCAGCCAATCTCCAAGTGGGCAGGCAGGTCCTGTGTGGGCTGAAGCTTTGACATAGACCCTGGCCCTACAGGTATTATCGGGGGACCCACGGGGTCATCGTGGTTTATGACGTCACCAGCGCCGAGTCCTTCGTCAACGTCAAACGGTGGCTTCACGAAATTAACCAGAACTGTGACGATGTGTGCCGAATACTAGGTGAGATGGGGCTCCCTGCAGTGGGGACCGTGGGATGGAGGGCGCCAGGGCTGCTCCTGCAGGACCAGCTGACTTTGCTTTGCCTTAAAGTGGGGAATAAGAATGATGACCCTGAGCGGAAGGTGGTGGAAACAGAAGATGCCTACAAATTCGCCGGGCAGATGGGGATCCAGTTGTTTGAGACCAGTGCCAAGGAGAATGTCAACGTGGAAGAGGTGAGCCCTGGGTCGGAGCAGGGCCAGGGAGGGAGCGGGCCCAGCTCTGCTGCACCACAGCCTGCTCCTCCCCCCGCCAGCCTGCTGCGGGCACCAGGTGGCTGACAGAACATGTCATAGTAGCTGCCAGGCCTTTAAAGTCCGAGCTCAGTCTGAACAGTCCTCTCAGGTAGACTGTTCCGTTTCACATGGGAAACGGAGGCTCCAACTAAAGGAACAGTGCCCAGCTCGTTAGAGGCTAAGTCAAGCTTAGACCGGTCTGCACCACAGCCATGCAGTGTCACTCAGTGCTCTGCCTCCCTCGCCCTGCCCCGGCCCACAGCTGTGCTCCTCCTGCTTTCGGGCTTTTCTGCAGCCTTGGCCTCCGGAGCTCCGGTGGCACCTGCTGTGGACACAGCCCTCCCAGAGCCTCCCACCCAGCAGCCCCGTCACTTCTGTGGGGCCTGCCAGGAAGTCTGGAGAGAGCGGGCTTTTGCCCCAAGCCCAGGCTGGCCACACTCGAGGCTTGGGGCGAGTTCTGTCCGTGGTGTGTGGAGTCCAGAGGCCCAGGAAGCTGGATCCCCACTGCCTCCTGGACACCCTGGGCCTCAGTCAGGCCAGGATCCCAGGCCGGGGCCTTTCCACGTGGAGCCTGTGGTGTGGGGCCTGGGTGACCTTGGGCGGAGCTTATTGCTCTAGGCTCCATGGTTCCTCTGTGGATCTGGGGGGAGTCCCTGGGGTTGTGAGGAAAAAGTGAAGCAAATTGTCAAGTGTTTGATGATACCGTGCCTGGTGGAGTGGAGGACAGGACTGCGGCTGGTAGGTGGTCCTAGGCTGGATGTGCTGAGAGCTGGCGCGGAGTGGGCAGGCTCTGGGCCCTCGAACCCGTCGCTAGTAGGGGCACCTTTGTCTGTCTTGTCCAGAGAGTCCAGCTGAAGGAAAGGGGTTCTTTCTCTTTAAAAGAAAGACTGGAAAATCCTGAGAGTGACTTCTCCAGGACACAGCTCATTGGGTTTTGATGTTCCTCTTTGACCTCTGCACGTCACCACCTCCTACAAGGGTGTGGGGAGACACAGACCAAAAAGTTCGAGTAGAAATAGAAAGCTGGGCCCTGGGCGATGGGGCGGGGCCTTGCTGGCCAGCAGCGGCAGCCGCAACGGCCTCCACACGAGGTCTGAGGCCGCCCTGCCTCCTTCATCCTCACAGATGTTCAACTGCATCACAGAGCTGGTCCTCCGAGCAAAAAAAGACAACTTAGCGAAACAGCAGCAGCAGCAACAGAACGACGTGGTGAAGCTCACGAGGAACAGTAAACGGAAGAAACGCTGCTGCTAATGCCTCGCAGCCCCTGCAGAGACTGCACTGCGGCCACTCCTGGCCCGAGGCCCACCGGGGTCCTCGGGGGACAGTCTGTTTCGTGCCGTTATTTAAGAATTCTCCACGTTTTTGTATCTGGAGGCGCCATCGGCACTTCCTCCCCTCCCCGAGTACCAAGGAGGTGTTGGACAACCCGCCCTTCCCTCTGGTGCCCTGCCCCCTGGCCGAGGCGCCGGGCCCAGCGAGGACGCTGCCAGCGAGCGGACTGATTAACCCGTTTGTACATAATGTATATGCTTTAATGGCCGTCTCACCCTCGTCCCGCTCTGACTGCCTCCCTAATGCCAGCCTGCTGCACCAGACCCCCTCCCCATCCCATCTTACCGCCAGCAGCTTCCCGAGGAGATGGGATCGAGTTCTAGCCACGTCTTTTGCCAACCTGGGCTGGTGGAGTGGGCTCACGTTCCTCACTCTCCTGCAGGCCACCGTTGACTTCTGTACCTGGCAGGTAGGGCCTCGCCCACGCCCCTGCCTTCTCCCTCCCCTCCCCCTAACTATCTGGTAGTTGGGAGCCTGGCCTTGATGTAGGCCTAGCGTTCCCATTAGAGGCCCTGCCCTCAGCTGGAAGGTTCCACAGGAGTCACTCCTGCCCTTTGGCCAACAGACTTCTTGTCCTGCCTTCTAGATGCCTCTAAGCTACAAACCCAGGGGAGCTGTGCTTCTATTTATACCAACCTGTTTCGGTTCCAGCAGAAAGACAGGGTGTGTTCACGCAGGAGCGGGCTTAGGAGCATTATTTTAACAGCTGAGAAAACGAAGCCACATCAAATGAATCACGTTCCTCACACTTCTTTCCTCTTCCTGAGGCAGCAAGAGCCGTGGCCTCCCGTTGGGCCCAGTGTTGGTAGGAAAAGCGAATGGCTTCCTGTCTTTGTGGGCCGGGCCCTTGGCAGAGCGTTGCTGACCTTTCTGACCTTTCTTGGTGGGAGAGACGGGGCCTCTGACCTCGTCTGTGCGGGTCCACGGCCCCCACTGCGCTCCTGGGTCTTCGCCGGGGGCGTGGGTGCTGCCGGACGGGGGATGCCGCCTCTCGCTGGCGGCTGTGCTGGTGCAAAGGCAGCAGAGGATTCCTTAGCAGGTGGGAAGGAATGGCAGCTGCGGCTGGGAGCCAGCCAGCTTGGACGACCCTGGTCCCTCGGAGGAAAAACCAGGGTTATCTACACTTGATTACTGTCCCCTTTCCTCCTCCTTGGGACACGTCATTCACCTTTCCCCTAAAAGGATCACGTAACCTGGGAATAATTTATTTCAACACCGTGGGGTGTTCTACTAGGTTCCCTTTCCTGGCGATTTCCAGGTGAAGCCCTGACTGGACAATCACATCACAGATCACACTGCAGATTTTCCTCGTTAACACTGCTGACGGGTTTTTAATCAAAACGTGGGGTTTCCTTTGACCTGCCTCCCCACTTCCCCAAACTGCCAAAACACTGGGCTCCGTGTGAAGCCTGCACTTGGAGCCGCAGGATGAGCTGGGGGCGTGCTTTGGCCCGGGAGGCGGTGCTGTGGAGGGTGGCCGATCATGGGTCCTGGGTGGGCAGCACACTCACTCCACTCTGAGCACGAAGGTGGTGCCATGTGGCAGTGCTTGCAAACTCAAGCAATAAGAGGAGGGGGTCCTGGAGGGGTCCAGCCCCGGCCGGAAACACTCATGGCTCTGGCAGCTGGATGTCCAGGCCCGGGTGGCGGGTGACTTTGGCGACTACTGTGCCTGTCCCGCGGAGTGGTGTTCGCATGAATGGGGGGTGGGGGTGGGGTGCTCACAGGGCTGGGCCGACGTCCTGGTGGACCTGATGCGAAATCCTGTCAAACAACAAAACTTTTAAATGGTTTGCTAGGATTATTTCTGTATTGAAAGTTTCTAATTATGCTTTTTTAAAAAAGTACTAAAAATAAAGGTTCAAGCTGCCAAATTTCCTTCGGGGCTGTTTCCTCTAGCTTCTCCCACCATTGTGTCCGCTCTGGTGGGCTCTTGTCCGAGTCCTGAACCGGGGCCTCTGGAGAAGCCAGTCCGCGCTGAGGCCGTGACGTGCTGGCTGAGCAGCGGTGATGCCAGGGGAAGCGCCTGTTTACTTCCTCACGTCGGAGCTTCGCCTGCGTGACTTCACTCAGGCTTGAAGTTTCTGCCGAGCTGGAGGGCCTGCCCGTGGCTGTCACCCACAGGGCGCCTCCGCCCTCCGGGAGGTGCCCCGTCCGGCTGAACGCCCTGGCTGGGCCCCTGGGTACGAGGTGACCTCCCAGGCGCGCTGGGGGCTCACTATTTCTGCCTCTTCGGGCCAGCGGCGGTCCTGAAAGGCAAGCTGTGTTCTAACACCCCCTCTGGGCACCAATGACCAGGCAGGAAGCTCTGTAGAAATTCAATTTATTCTTAGACTATTTTCAAAAGAAGCAGTGGTGTGCTGTTTTTCTAAAAATATGCCTTTATAGATTTATATATAATATGTATATTATAAAATCCATACATGTATTTACATGATTGCTACATACAAAAGTACAGCACTGTGGTATGTACATATCTATAGATACATTCTTTCCGCTCGTCCCTGCTGGGCTGCTCCCACGTGAGGCAGCTCGGGCGGGCGCAGCCGGAGCCTCGGGGAGAGGGCCGCAGGGAAGGGCGTGCTGCTGAGGGAGCAGCAGGTGGCAGGACGCATCCCCCCGCAGGCCCAGGGGGCAGGATCTGGAGGCGTCGCCCATGGTGACAGTGCTGCCCTTGAGGTGGAGGTGGCTGCAGAGCCTTCTGGGGCCATTCTGTGTCCTAGACTTGCTTGGCTGAACCAAGAACTTGGATAGGTGAGGGGAGTGGGAGGCTGGGACCCCTCCCAGCCGTGGCCCAGGAAGGGGGAAGGGCTGGATGGCTAAAGCCTGCAGAGGCCCTGTGAAGACCGGCTGAGGGGGAAGGCCTGCACTGGCGCAGCCGGGGAGGGAGCGCGGTGGCGCCAGGGGCCAGGCTGTCTTCCTCTGGGCTCGGGATGGCCTCGGCCAAGCCTCTGCAGAGCCCACTGGCCGAGAGCACAAGGACAGCCATCGGGCCCCACAGGCTGGGTCTCCTGGCAGAGGTGCTCCTGGCGGAGGTGCATGCACATGGGGGAGGGCCCGCCGCCCTTACTCCCTGGGCCGGGCTTGGGGAGGAAGGAGGCTCAGGCCTGGGCGTGGTGCCCTGCAGGCTCGGCCCCCACGGGTGGGCACGCCGTGGCAGCCTCCTGAGGATGCAGAGGGCCTGTTTCTCCCGTTCCCCAGATCCCACAGGGAGGGCAGCAGCCAGGGGTTGGGTGTGGGAGCCACTGAGGGGTGGGCCGCTCTGGGCAGCCTGAGCCCTGCTCAACAGCAGCGGATCCTAGGGAAGCCCAGGCTGGGCTGGGCTGGGCCGTGGGGACAGGCTCCTGCCTGTCCCTCCACCAAGGGCGGCCTCAGAGGCCGGCAGGCCCTCCTGGAGGAATGGCCGGTGCGGGCAGGCAGTGCCCCGTGGAGCCCGGCAGGGGAGCCCTTGCCCGTGAACGCCGTGCACTGGGCCTCGCCCGCACCCTGTCGCCTCCAGGCCCCCCGTCCTCGCTGGCCTGACTCCTCCCAACTCAAATTTTCCTGAAGAATGAGAATAGCCGTTTGCCTTCAGCGGTGCTGGGCTCGACCCCACGCCCTGCGCCACGGGCCCTGGAGAGGGCGACGGCAGGCCGGCTCCGCTCCTTCAGGTGCGTGTCCATCAGCTGCCGGTCAATGACCCTGTGCATGTCATCCTGCAGAGAGAGGAGCGGAGGGGCTGAGCAGGGCAGAGTCCCGACGTGGGGTGGGCAGGGAGGGGGTGACACGTCTGAGGGACCGAAGGACAGGAGATGAGGATGAGATGAGGATGAGGATGATGAGGGAGGAGATGAGTGAGGGGCTGCCCCAACCAAGAAAGCAGGTGGAGATCCCGGGACACACGAACCAGGCGCCTCCTCCACAGGCTACCCCTCGGCTAACCCCACAGACGGCCCAGGGCGCCTGCAGCTGGTACTCCTGTCTGTCTCCACGCTGTCCCGGCTCTCTGCCCTGCCTCCTGTGACCTCTGAGGCTGGGTGGGTGCCTGCCCCTGCTGGCAACCTCAGCTTGCCAGCTCTCAGCCCAGTGCTGGCTTCTGCCCCTTTCCCCTTCCAATTACCATCGGCCTGAGCGACACACCGGCAACTGCACGTGACCAGGACACAGACTCCCTGGTGCCTCCCTTGCCTGCCTCCAACCACATGCACGGCCCCTTCTTGCGAGGCTCCCATCGCCGCCTCAGGGCTCGTCTTGCTCACCAGGCCACGTCCTCGGCCTCCTCACTGGGGAGCACCTTCCCCTCCCCATGGGGTCCCGTTGCCTAGGAAATGCCCCTCGCCCGACTCCACCTCACAGAAGGGCAGCTCTGACCTCCGAGGAGCCTCTGGACGCAGCTCCACTCCATTCTGTGCGGGACTCCTTTGACAAGGCACTCTGCCGCCCGCACAGCGGGAACACTGCCGGCTTAGAGATCTAGGCACCCTGTCCAGGTCCCAGCAGCAGGAAACAACAAGCATCTTGAAGGCTGCAGGCCCTGGGAAAAGCCTGAGCCTTGGGCTCCCCCCTGGCCTGCTCCCCACCGTCAGGGCAACCACTCACTTGAGCGCAGAAGGGGGCTGCGGGCCCCTCCCTGGGCAGCTCGTCCATCACCTCCTGGCCTCTCCCCGAGCTCTCCTGGCGGAGTCACCAATGTCTGCTGGTGTCCGTGAGAAGCAAAGACTGCTTAGCCGCCACCAGGCGGCCGCCCGCTGGGGAGGAGCTCCTCTCCCCTCTGACCACATCCTGTTCTCGCTCCTCCCATCCCGACGAGTGTGCGTCACACTCATCCTTCCTGCACCCCCTCCTCCGCTCAGGAACAGACCTGCTCCCTCCTCGCAGCCCTGTCCGTGTCTAACCCACAGCACGGGCCCTGCCCCGGGGCCGGGCTCCACAGAGCCCACGTGGCTCAGTGCAGCACCAGGGCGGCACAGCCCTTCCCAAGCTGCCAGTGTTTGTGCGGGCACATCGCACACCGCGTTTTTATGCTTATGTCACTTTAGAACATCGTACACACACACACACACACTCACACACTCACACACACTCGCCTACATAAGCTGCTCATAATCCCACACCTGCCGTTACTTCTGTGGGCAAAGCAACCCGTTGATGAGGAGGTGCCACCGAGAAACCAGGGCCGGCCTGTCGGCACCGGGCCACAGGCTGCCCCGCTCACGGACGTGGCGATGACGGGAGGCAGGCGGGCTCGATGGCATGGTGCACAGGACAAAGATGACGCCGGACTCCGGCACACAGACGGTGGGCCACGAGGTGCGATGGGGACGGACGTTCATGGCAGGGGGGCGGGCGGGTGGGATGAGAGCGCAATCTCACCTCAAAGGCAGGAGGGGTGTACAACTAAAGCTGTTGATACGGGAACTGAGAAAGGCCACTAGATCAGAAACCAAAGGAGCCAGATAGTAAAAAGCCCTGAGGAAGCGAACTGTAGCCGGGAGAGAAGAGAAAAGAACAGGACGTGAGCCGGGGCCCCGCTCGGCGTGGAGGGAGGGTCAGGGGGGCGCGGGGCTCCCCTGGGAAGGCCACCGTGTCTAACGAACGGCCACACCCGTGTTCTGAATGGTCTGAACTGTCCTACCCTGGCCGGGCCGCCGTCAGCCAAGAGCCAGTGCAGCCCTGGCCCCGAGGACAGCCTGTCGGGCTGAGGGGTGGGCCCCAGAGGGACGCACTAGCTCACTGTCCCCGGCTCTCCCGCAAAAGGAAGCTGGCCTTGGAGAAGGGAAGGGCAGCAGCTGCAGCGGCCTCAGGGCTGTGTGCGTGCAGTCACCGGGCTTCCCGGGCCCTCCACCTCCACCGCGGTTTCTCTCCAGCCAATGGAACAAAGCTGCGGAGGTCCCTGTGCCCAGCCTGGAGGTTGCCGCAGCCCCAGGCAGCACAGCCTGGGCCCGCTGCTCCCGAGATCATCTTCGGTCAGCACCCGACTCCGTACACGCTGCCCGCACTCGCAGCGTCCCGGAGCCCCGTCCCCCCGCCCTTACCTGCCAAGCCTCCAGCTGCTGGGAGAGGTTTAGTTTCTGCTGAATGGCGTCCAGCAGCTGGCTGTTCAGAGACATCATGTCCATCTTGCACTTGGCGAGTTCCAGCTCCACAGCGTTCTTCCTGGAAACAGACAAGCCGTGAGCGTGAGCGCCGGGTGCCGGGTGGCTGGTTCTTTACCACCCGGTGAGGAAACGGGTTCGGACCCTAACCTCGTAACGACCGGCAACTCTGACGTGCCTTTGGAAGGCTGGGCAGCTCGCAGCATGCTTCCCCATACTGTTCTCAATTCTCCTAACCAGCCTGCAGGGGAGGGATTATCTGTCATCCCATCTCACAGGCCAGAAGCAAAAGCCTCACAGAGCACTGGAGAGCTGCTAATCCTTCTCCCAGAGGCCAGCCTCTGTGAGCGGTGGGGGCCTTCGTCCTCCCGGTCCCCCCACTTTCCTAAGGGATCTAAGAGGCATGTGTGCAAAGGTGGCCACAAAGGGGTGATCACAGCTCAGCTAATCACAGGAGCCTATAAGGAGCCTGGTGGTGAATTGCTCACCATGTATTTGGACCTGGGGGTGGAAAGCACCAGAAAACAAGGGCGGATATAGTTGCTTCGGAAAAGTATATTCTGTGTGTATACAAGGTCGCAGGCGAAAATGTCTACTTCGTTATCTCTGGATGATGATCGTTGACGGGTAAACGCTCACACGTTTTGGCATTTTAATTGTGAAGTGTTTACGCATATTACTTTGTAAACACTGCCCAACATTGCTAAATTCTGGCTCAAGGCAAAATAATAATGGGGAGCAGGAGGGGGATGGAAATAAAAGTGCTGGAGGCTGAAGGGGCTGCCTCTGCAGAGGTGGCACTGGTTGCCTTGCTGTCAAAACGAGCATCTCTTAGCCCTTGTCTTCATCCCTTTTGCATTCGACACTAGAAGGCTGGCAAGTGTCCTTGCACAGGGCCAGCGACCCACGGACCACAACCAGAGGACCCTCCTGCAGAGGCCGCCCAGCTCCGGCCTCAGGAGCGCACCGGGCTAAGCGCGGCTGGAAGGCGGGGCGGTTGGGGTAAAGCACTCAGGCCACCGCCATGACCGGCACTTCCACACTGGCCTCCAGGCCACCTCCCCTGACACCCCAGCGCTTCATACAGGGCCCCGCCCGCCCTTCCTGGAGAAGCCGCTCAGGACAGCCAGCCGGGTTGCCGCTGCAATGCGGCTGCAGAGAGCGGAGCCTGTCCAATGGGCGCCGGCGTCTCAGACAGCGCAGGCCGTCACGCCCGCCGCGATTGGCCAGCGGCACAGGCGGCACTCCTCCTGGAGCCGGTTGCCAGGGACGCCCAGCCTGTCAGAGAGGCTCCCCAGCGCCCCGCCCCGCGGCCGCCCCTGGAGTTGCCGGCGTCCCCCGGCAGGTGGCGCCAGAGCAGCCGGGAGACCCGGAATGTGCTGAGTAACGCTGCAGCGGAGGGAAGGCTGAGCTGGAGGAGGGTCTTCTTCCTGGAATGCGCCAGGAGCGAGGGCCCCCCTCCATACGGCCTCTGCTCGCACACCAGGGCATCCGGGTGCTTGTCCTCCGTGAGAAGGATAGAAGGCAAAAAAATTTAAAAAATAATAGGATACATATTAGAAAAATAATAGAAAACTAAGAAATGGAGATGATGAAAATGAATGAAAACAGAAAGGTGGGAAGTGGGTGAGGGTGTGAGAAGGGAAAGGTGTGGGGAATTTTATTTTATTTTACTTTTTAATATGTTTTATTGATTTTTTACAGAGAGGAAGGGAGAGAGATAGAGAGCTAGAAACGTCGATGAGAGAGAGAAAAACCCCAGCTGCCTCTTGCACACAAGTCACTGGGGATGTGCCCGCAACCAAGGTACATGCCCTTGACCGGAATTGAACCCGGGACCTTACAGTCCGCAGGCCGACGCTCTACCACTGAGCCAAACCGTTTCGGCGGTGAGGGAATTTTAAAAGTCAGAAATTTAAATTTACCCCAACTGCCCCGCCACCTTCCAGCCAAACCAGAAAGCAAAACTGCAGAAACCACTAACTCATATGCCGACCAGAGATTTTAAAAGGAATATTTTAAGGGGCTAGAATTCCTCATTTAAATGAAAACACTAGTAACAGACTCCTTTTGTTTTTATAAACTAGAATGCCAGCCCTAGAGTTTGGTTTACTTTTAGTGAGGGCCCTCCGCCAGCGAGGAGATAAACTAGGGAATGCCTTAGGATGCGGGCAGCCCAGGAAAAGGGATGCCTCCAGACAACCTGACCCAGCCTGGTGACCACTGGGCCAATCCGAGGGCTGAGATTGCGGGCCTTCACTCTCTCCTCCTCTGGAACACTTTGTGGGTTTCTGCCTAGCTGGGTTCCTAACCCACACACTTTAACCCCTTTGAATAATAGATCATGTATTGATAATTTTAGCCAAAAATCTCCAGACTCTGTTTGAGTTCACTGGACAACATATAGGTTGTGAGCCTCACTGAGAGTAAAATTCCTAAATGAATCGACCAGATAGGAAAAAGAGATGCAAAGGTAAAACTGAGAAATGGAGGAGAAACCAAGATGGCACAGGGCAGACACCTGAATGCAGCCTACCACAACAAATCTGAATTTAGAACTGGAAAACGGGGGAAACATCACCCTGAAGCGCCGGACGGCTGGCTGAGAGGAGGCTCTACCATCTGGGAAGGAGAGAGAAGGCACGCTGAACCTCAGGAACTGTGAAGGTTTGGAGAATTGTGCGTGCGAAAAGGCAGCCGCCCGACTTTGCCGCCGGCTTGCTTGCGGAGCTCGGAGAGAGTGGAACGAGTGCAGAGAGGGCCGGCACACGGAGAAGGTGGACAGCGCGGCTGCTTTCTTGTTCGGGAGGAAAACAGAACCACCCTATTGCTCTGATAGATGGCCCCAGACAGGGAGAGGCCAGACTGTCAGGCAGTGGGCAGAGATCTCTCAGAGGTGTGTGAAGCCAGCGGCCATTACTGCGGGACTCAGAAACCAGGCCCTCATAGGGAGGGGCTGAATAAAACTTGTCTGCACCACCCGAGACTCCGCCCCATCCAAGCGGAGCACAGAAGCCCTTCCAGTGGCCAGCTTTCTAGTTTGCCGTGAATAGGACTCTCCTAGGGAGTGACAGACAGGAATCCAAAGCTTGTCTGCGACTATACCAAAGAGGTGCGCGCGCCTGCAACCAATCTTACGGGATTCACCAAAGCTTGGCTGTGCCACCCCGAGACTCCGCCCCATCCAAGCGGAATACAGAAACCCTCCTAGTTGAGACACTTCTGATCCTTATAGCCAATTGGCTTGGAGATCAACGCTTCCCAGTGATACCAACAACAAGCAAGGCTTAACGACAAGACTGCACACACAGCCCACAACAGGCTACACCAAGACTGTCCACCTCAGGTAACTGGGAGGCTGACCCACTGAACCATATAGGACACCTTAGCACACAAAGCCACCCTACCAACTCAGGGAAGCTGTGAAAATGCTGAGACAAGGAAACAGATCACAAACAAAAGAAATGGAAGGACAAGAAGTGACTGGATATAGAGTTCAAAACCACGCTTATAAGGTTTTTCAAGAATTTCCTAGAAAAGGGTTTAGACTGAGGGCATAAGAAATAATTTAGGCCCTGGGTGGTGTGGCTCAGTGGATAGAGCGTTGGTCCTCATCGAAGGGTCCCAGATGCTATTCACGTATCTTGATTGCAGCCTCCATCCCTAGCCCTGGTTGGGGCGTGTGCAGGAGGCAACCAATTGTGTTTCTATCACATCGATGCTTCTGTCTCTCCCCCTCCCTTTCACTCTCTCTTAAAAAAAAAAAAAAAATCAGCCGGGACTGGTTTGGCTCAATGGATAGAGTGTCGGCTTGGGGACTGAAGGGCCCCGGGTTCGATTCCGGTCAAGGGCATGGACCTTGGTTGCGGGCATATCCCCAGTAGGGGGTGTGCAGGAGGCAGCTGATCGATGACTCTCTCTCACTGATGTTTCTAACTTTCTATCTCTCTCCCTTTCTCTCTGAACAAAAATCAATAAAATATATATTAAAAAAAATCAATGGAAAAATATCCTTGGGTGAGGATTAATAACAAAATTTAACACAAGATGGGGAATAGGTAAATATGTGTTTTGTTTATGTATTTGCAAGTTTTTTGAATGTAAGGGAATGCATTTATACCTTTTCTTCTCAGCTCAAGAAAACCCACATTAAAAAGCTACAGTTTCCTGGAAATACAGCAGACAGAGAAAGATGTTAAATGACACTCTGAGGATGCAATCACACTCAGAATATAAACTCTGAAACAACCCACTTTCTTCAATGAATAAATGCAGGATTTAAAAAAAGGAGGTGAAGACTTGGGGACATATCAAGTAAAGAGAGCCTTCGGAGTCTGAGTCTCATCAATTACAAAAAGATTTTTGGGACAACAGGGAAAATCTGAACCCCGGATATTAGATGACATAAGACATTACTGTAAGTTTTAAGTGTGAGAACTGTACTGTGGGTTGTGTTTTACAGAAAGGGACTTTTCCTGGTAGAGATCCATACTGAAGGGTTTATAGATGAGCCGACAGGATGTGCTGTGATTTTCTTCAACAACCTCCAGAGGGCGGTGGGCGAGGATGGGGATGTCAGACACTAGCCTCATGCTGATCAGTGTGGAAGCTGAGGGAGGGCAGGAAGGGATCCATCTTTTCTACTTCTGTGTATGCTTGAAAATGTCCATAATAGAAGTTAAAAAACAAAAACAAAAAAAACCCACCCCAAAATAAAAATGTTCAGGTAGATATTCATATATATAAAGCCTAAGCGACCGTCCAACTGCTCCACCAGAAACTATAGTGCACACTGACCACCAGGGGGCAGACACTCAGCGCACAGGCATGGAAACATGAAACAGACTGATGAATCTCAGAGGGAAGGGGGAGGAGGGAGGAAGGGAAGAGATTAAACAAAAATCTTACACGCACACCAGAGGCTTGGTGCATGTGGGGTCCCTTGGCCTGGCCTGCAGGGATCGGGCTGAAACCGGCCTGGTGCACATGTTCATGCACTGGTGGGACTCCTTGGCCTGCAGGGATCAGGCCAAGTCTGTGCCCCGAGCCTCCAACATTCCCCGAAGGGTCCTGGATTGTGAGAGGGCACAGGCCAGGCTGAGAATCTGTGCACCGGGCCTCGAGTACATTTATAATGAATCAGAAGGCTCTCTCAGATGTAAGTGGGGGGAAAGCAGCACATGTAGAGCATCACCCATTGATGCCATTCCAAAGTCCACGGCAACTACACCGCACCCGAACAGGAGGGAGGCCTGCAGACAAGGCCCACCCAGCTGTCAGCAGCAGCGTCTGCCTGGAGGGAGGAATGGGTTTGGGGTGAGGGGGGAGCAGGGAAACTCTCCTTCTCACTTTCCTCTTCCTCTGAGGGGTGTTAACTGTGAACACGGAGCCCCAGGCACGCTCACTCACTTGGCGATGGCCTCGTCCCGGTCGCGGACAGCCTTCTGAAGCTGCTCCTTCGGCTCCTTGTCCTCAGACGTCACTCTGAGTCGGTCTCTCTCCTCCTTGAGTGCAGTCATCTCCACACTCAGCAGAGTCACCTGCAGGGAAGCCAAACGGGTGGGTGTGGCGATGCCGCCGCTGGCGGCGGTGTGTGTGTGTGTGTGTGTGTGTGTGTGTGTGTGTCTCCCTCTGAGAGGGAGAGGAGCGGGAGCCTCCGGGCAGTGCGGGGCCTGGGTGCCAGGCAGGCTGGTCTCCGCCCGCTGCCCCGGGGGAGGCCCGCCTCGGAGAAAGGAGGCCCCCTCCTAGGCAAGGGCCAGTGGCCCTGGTCCCCTCCGCCCATGGCCCCCCGCACCACCTCCTCTAATCCAGGGCGATCCCAGGAACGAACGGAGGAATCTACACACGCACCAGGCTTGGAAACACACTGTTTTTGGAAGAAGCTCAACAAGGAGCACTGTCAGCCCAGGACCTGGCCGGTGAGAGCCTGGGACCTGGTCCCACTTTGGACAGCACCCTGGCTGGCCTGGCATCTCCACCTTCACGCTGCCCCCGGTCACAGTGCAGGCAATTCCAACGCCGAAGGGATGTTACCGCCTCCCCCTTCAGACCCGCCACCCTTCCCGTGCCCGGGGCCTCCGCGGGCGAGCCCCTTGGCGGCACGGTGACCCCGGCACACAGCGCGGATGGCAGGAAGCACGTCCCAGCTCTCTGCTCCTCAGAGCCGGACTCTGTGATGCCTAACCCCCCGGGGCTGTGCAGTGAGTGGGAGCGGCCAGCTGTGACTTCTCTGGCCAGCCATCACCCCAGCTCCCTCCCTGTTCTGGGCGCTCCAGGCTGCGAGTCTCGGTGGGAGACAGGCATGTCCTCCACACTGGGGGGTCCAAAGGGGAGAGACGTGTCTTTTCCGAGGTCCCTGGGGGTGAGCCCCAGCCTTGCCTGTCAAGCCCCCACCCCCCGCACTGCCTCAGGCCCTGGCAGTGTTGCATGAACAGTAGGCTGTGCACTTCCCACGGCTCCTTCCTGTTCCGGAGCTCAGCTCTCCGGCCTCCCTGTGGCTCTGGAAGAGGTCAGGTGTCATGCCCATGCCTTCTCTTCTGCCTCAGTGAAGGTCTGCCACAGACAGCCTGCCGGGCGGGGCCTAGGACGGCTCTGTGGAATGACTGGAGGGCTGGGCCCTTCTCACAGGTGACAGGATCCGACCGCGGCCGGAGGCCTCCTCCCTCTGGTTAAACATCACTCGTTCTTTTCACTGTTTCCAAGGAGGCTCCCTCCACACAGGCCTGCTCCTCCCTCTGGGGTGGAGTCACCTTTGGGCTACTCCCTGGCTCTTCGGGCCCGGGGCCCACCATCCCCCAGAATGAGGCTGAGCCGAGGCCCGGGACTGAGGCTCAGGATGGAGTTTCCCTGCAGACCCCCGGACTGCCCAGTGAGGCACCCGCCGGGGAGAGGGACACAGGACGGTCACTAGGGCAACGGGTTTCGTTCTCTCGGCTGCCTGGTAAGGAACGCCAGGCCCTGGTGCTTGTGAGGTGGGGATAGCAGTGAGCAGGGTGAGCAGCCTTAGGGCAGAACAGGCTGGGGCACCTGCAGAGGCAGGACACGCATGTGCGGCTCACCCCGCAGAGGCAGGACACGCATGTGCGGCTCACCCCGCAGAGGCAGGACACACATGTGCGGCTCACCCCGCAGAGGCAGGACACGCATGTGCGGCTCACCCCGCAGAGGCAGGACACGCATGTGCGGCTCACCCCGCAGAGGCAGGGCACGCATGTGCGGCTCACCCCGCAGAGGCAGGACACACATGTGCGGCTCACCCCACAGAGGCAGGACACGCATGTGCGGCTCACCCTGCCTGAGGCAGGACATGCATGTGCGGCTCATCCCGCCCGAGGCAGACAGGCCAGCCTTGCCCTACTTGGTAGCCGGTCCTGCGCTTGGCATCCAGGAACCAGGCCCCAGAAAGCAGCCGCAGAGACAGCCAGGCACCCGGAGACCCTGTGAGCCGGACGCGAGCTCAGCCAGCGGGCAGCCCGGCTCCTCGCTGAGTGAGCAACAGATAAAGTCCGTGCTGGGCAGGCAGCGCCGGCATTCAGCGGGCTCCAGACAGAACCCAGCGAGGACTTCACCGATTCCAGGAAGGAAGAGGGAGAAAGACAGAAACGTCAGTGATGAGAATCACTGATCGGCTACCTCCTGCGCGGCCCCTACCGGGGACCGAGCCCGCAACCCAGGCAAGTGCCCTGACTGGGAATCGCACTGTGACCTCCTGGTTCACAGGTCAATGCTCAACCCTTGGGCTGTGCTGGCCGAGCTCAACAAGAACTTTCTGCCTTGGCCTGGAAAGCCTGGTCAGGACAGAGACCACCAGCTCTGCCTCAGAGTGACAGGGACTCACCCTTTCTGAGTACACCTACTTTAAAAAAAAAAAATACATTTTATTGATTTTTCACAGAGAGGAAGGGAAAGGAATAGAGAACCAGAAACATCAATGAGAGAGACACATCGACCAGCTGCCTCCTGCACACCCCCCATCAGGGATGTGCTCCCAACCAATGTACATGCCCTTGACTGGAATCGAACCTGGGACCTTTCAGTCCGCAGGCTGACGCTCTATCCACTGCGCCAAACCGGTTTCGGCCCTACTTTCCATAAAAATCAAGAATACAGGTATTTCCCACCATCAAGCTGCTGTGAGGATCAAATGGATGAGTGACATCAGCATCGCACATGGTGCCTGCCGCCTGGTGGTAAGCTCTGCACCCTTCTCCTCCCCCTCCCCCTCCCCCATCCCATCCTCCACCTCCCCGCCCCCCCCCCCCCCCCCCGCCCCTCCACGGGCGGCTTGCTGATGGTGGTCCTGAGGACTGGTCTGGCTTTTTACACAACGACAGGGTCCAGCACCCCCAGCCCACCTTTCCCAAATAAGGCGGCCGTCCTCGAGAAGGAAAAGCATCGGAGAAAACACCGGGAAGTTCAGTGTCCAGGGCTTTGTTTGCCTTTCACTGGACAGTTCTGTGACCAGCCACCGCGCTAGGAGCTTTGGGAGAAGACAAAAGGGACATCAGACCTCGAGCTGGTCTGCGTGGGGCCGAGGGACCGTGGAGATGGGAGGTTACCGAGGACATGAAACCCGACCAGGACCTGAGGCTGAAGGCAGAGCCTGGGCGGGTGTAAGGGGAAGGGCGGGGGGAAGGGGGGACAACACGGACCCAGTGCCGGTCAGAGCCCGCGGGCCTGGCCAGAGCGAGGGGCTGGCGTGTGGGTCCCAGCCGGGCACAGACCGAATCAGCCCGTGAACACAGACACGGGAGGAACAGCACACGGATGTTTCTCTCTGTGTCTCAAATCAGTAAGTTAAAGAGAAAAAAGTTCCTCGTCAGACTCCCAGCAACCTAGCCCTGCTTATGCTTCTGAATGAGACAATGCCCTCCAGAGGTTTCTCAGAATTGGGTGGGACTCCCCAATTCTGAGAAGCAACAAAACGAAACAAAATAAAACAAAAGACAGCCGAGATCAAAGCACGGACAAGCACTGGCAGAAATATAAATGAGCTTGAAGTGAACACAGCCTGTGTGTATCCCAGAACTTTCGGATCACCTTCTCCTGCTCTCCCGGTTTCAAAGGCCTGGCCCCCAGGACTGGGTGTCGTGGGCTGCCCAGACCCACTCCCACACTCGGCCTGGAACAAGCTTCGGCTTTCAACAGCCTCTGTCCGGTCCTGTGTCAACCCCCACCCCGCTCCAGGAGAGCGCTAGGAAGTCTAAGGGGCGCAGCCCACAGAAAGACAGCGTTTATTTCCAGTCGGTCTTTAAAGGTAGAAAGACGGACTGAAGCGAAAGCCAGGCTGCAGTTCCCTCTCATCTGCCCGGCGGGGGGGCGGAGGGGGGGCAGGCAGGGAGGGGTGACTAGCTTTGGACAAGGAGAGGCGGGGCAGGCTGGGTGGGGGCAGGGTTTAACAGGCTGCCTGCTGGGTGTCCCCCCACGTGGGACAAAACCTCAACACCTCGCCCTGGTCACTAGGAAGCCTGTGTTTATCGCCCGGGACACGTCGGAAGCTCCTTCCCGGAGGCTGGCTCCCGAGGCCGTTAAACCCTTCGTTTCACGCCAAAACCGGTTTGGCTCAGTGGATAGAGTGTCGGTCTGTGGACTGAAAGGTCCCGGGTTCGATTCCGGTCAAGGGCATGTACATTGGTTGCAGGCACGTCCCCAATAGGGGGTGTGCAGGAGGCAGCTGGTCGATGTTTCTCTCTCATCAATGTTTCTAACTCTCTATCCCTCTCCCTTCCTCTCTGTAAAAAATCAATAAAATATATATTAAAAACAAAAAAAAACCCCAAAAACCCTCCGGGTCAGAACGCAGGTGCCCCTCTCGGAGACAGGAAAGCCATCATCGCCAGTGGGAAGGAGCAGGGCGTGCAGCCTAAGTGCTTCCAAAGCCGAGGGGATGCATCCACAGAGGCGGCTGTGAAGACCAATCCTTGGTTTCCCTGCTCAAAAGCTGCTGGGGCCTGAGCTGTGGCTGCCACTGAAGACACAGAACCACATCCCCCTGCTCTGCGGAGGCAGCGTGGCCGGAGGGCCGCAGGTCAGCTGTTCTCCCTGACCGTGACTGTGGGCTGAACCCGGGACTGGCTTCTTCCCTCGAAGACGCCACCTCACCTCACCCTCAGTCCCTGCCCTCAGGGGAGTGGGCACAGGGAGAGCCCTGCTCTGCGGGACACGGGGAGGCACCGGGCCGAGGACGGGTGCTCACCTGACTGTGGAGTTGCTGCAGCTCTTCTAGGCTTTGCCTCAGTTTACCCCTCTCTCCCTCCATGAGTTCCCTCAGGGCTCTCGAATCCTCACTGGTCTGCCTTATCTGTTCTTCTAAGGAGTCCTCCTCAATTCTCCGGGAGCTCTGACGGCAAGACAGAGCGAGCCAGCCAGCCAGGGAGGAGGTGAGTGATGGTAGAGAAAGAGCAGGAGGTGGGACGGAGAGCAGGAAGGAGAGAGAGGAGAGACAAAGGAAGGAGGAGGATTAGAGGAGAGACTCTCTTGCTCAGTTTCATCAGCAGGCCGCAGCTAGACAAGGACCTTTGTGTGCCAGGCTCCAGGGAAGGTGGCGTGGCGTAAACAGCCCACGTCCCTCCAGCCACGGCCCAGTCTCTGACTGCAACCCGTCCCACAAGTCCCCACGGCTCGGGTGGCTCAGGGGGGCCAGCCTCCCGCCTTCCTTCACAGGCCCTCCATGACCCCGAGCAGAAACTGCCCCCCAGAGAGCAGGAGGGCAGAGGCGGCAGCAGGCGGTCAGGGCCTGGGACTGCCCCTCCTCCAGAGGAGCCGCATCTGGGATTCCGAAGGCCCTGCTGTGCATCGTCTCAACCCCGTCTCACTCAGACGCACTCCGCAGAAGTTCCGGACCTTTCCGGTGTGCCTGTGCAGAGCCGACTCCCCCCTCAAGGGGCGTCACACAGGACAAGCAGTGCAGAGAAGTGACCTGAGTGTTTGCCTGGATCCAAAGCCCCGATTTCAAAGCTTCCACGGAGCCGAAACCGGTTTAGCTCAGTGGTAGAGCGTCGGTCTGCGGACTGAAAGGTCCCGGGTTCGATTCCGGTCAAGGGCATGTACCTTGGTTGCGGGCACATCCCCGGTGGGGGGTGTGCAAGAGGCAGCTGGTCGATGTTTCTCTCTCATCAATGTTTCTAGCTCTCTATCTCTCCCTTCCTCTCTGTAAGATATCAATAAAATATATTTAAAAAAAAAAAAAAAAAAGCTTCCACGGAAAGCCCACGACACGGAGAGAGGGTCCCTGAGCCTCTGCGCCCTGGCTCTCACCCCCACCGGCCAGGTCCTGCAGGGACGGGCACCCCCGCTCCGCCCGGCTCTTACCGTGGGCTCCGCGCCGTCCACGATGCTCTGGACCAGCCTCTTGAGCTCGCTGAGGGCCGTGCGCAGGCTGCCGGCCGGCACGTCCTTGGCGGACGAGGTTTCCGAAGACTCGTCCATCGAGGAGTCCGTGGAGACGGCCGAGTCGGCGCTGTCGCTGCCTCGGAGGTGTGAGCAGAGGTAGCGGACCTGGCAGTAGGCCTCCCACAGCTGCAGTCTCAGCTGCCCCATGGGAGAATCACCCTGGTTACGGGCTCGGGAGAGTCCCGCCCCCCGGCCCCACCCGCCCTCTTTTCCTATGTGCACCCAAGTGTCTAAGATCCTGTTCTAGCAGAATCTTCTTAAAACCATCTGTTCCCGAAGTATGGACAGTTATATGGGCCCGGGACATCGACACAGAATCCCATTCTTCTGTTCCCTGCCCTCTAGCCTCTCCCATTCGCCGCATAAAGCACTTGGTTCTTTAGGCGGCTGCTCTGGGGGGGAGGAGTGGTTGGTTATGAGAAGCAGCCCGGTGGGCGACCATGGAGGACTGGGACCCTGTGGGTAAGAGGTGAGGCTAACGACTAGTGAACAAGCATTTCTACGAGGCTCTGGAGACTCGCACCGGCTCCCGCTGAGGCAGCCGGCACCGGGCAGAGGGGGACGGCGGGGCTCCCAAAGTCAGGGCCCGCCCAGGGTCCCCCGGGAACCGTCGTGCCCCAGTGGCAAGGGTGGGGAGCAGCACCTGCTCTCTCTCCTGCTCCAGCTCCTCGGCCTCCATGCTCTGCTCGATCTCGGACAGGAGGGACGTGCTGGTGGCGGCCGAGCTCTGCAGGCTTCTCTCCTCTGTGAGCTCCTCCACCTTCCCCTGCAGCTGCCGGCAGGAGAGCCGCACCTCCTGCAGCTCCAGCTGGCTCTGGTGCAGCTTCGGGGGGACAGCAAGGCGCGGCTGGTCAGGCCCGGGCCTGACCGAGCTTCTACCTCCAGCCCCCAATGCATAGACAAACGCATTCGGAGGAGAAGCACGCTGGGTTACCCCAGAGGGACGGCCAGTGACACTCAGATTTGGGGGATCCCACAGGACAAGCAGTGCAGTTTCTCCCACAGATAAATTTCAATAAAAGAGAGAGAGAAAAAAAAAAGAAGATAAAGGTAGAGAGATTTAAGAGATACCAACCAGGGTGTCATGGGTCGGCCTACTTTAATTTGTACCCGGATTCAAATGAAAAACATATAAAACAATTAGGATTTTGTAAGACAATTGAAAATTTGAACCCTGACTGGATATGTGATATTAAGAAAATACTGCAATTTTTTTTTTTAGGTATAATAGCCCTGTGGTTATATTTTCCAGGTTCTTAACATGTAGAGGCATTTGTTATTTACAGATGAAATCATAAAAATTCTGGGATTTACTTTAAAACAATACAGGAGAGGAGCAAGTGGACGTATGGAAGACTGGGTAGGGATCGCTGATTGGTAGAACATGGGGCATCGTTACACTGTTCTGTTTCTGAGTGTACCTGTAACTCCCCACAATAAAAAATTAAACATAGTTTGGCTCAGTGGATAGAGCTTCGGCCTGCGGACTGAAGGGTCCTAGGTTCAATTCCAGCCAAGGGCACATGCCCAGGTTGTGGGCTCGATCCCCAATAGGGGGCGTGCAGGAGGCAGCCAATCAATGATTCTCTCTCATCGTTGATGTTTCTATCTCTCTATCTCTCCCTTCCTCTCTGAAACCAATAAAGAAATGTATTTTAAAAAATTAAACACTTACATATACATAAAGGTAAAATACCAAAACATGGCTAAGACAAATAAGCGGGAAAATAATATCACGTGTTGAGGAAGACGTGGAGCTGCTGGGACTCGTAGCTGGTGGGGTGGAAGATGGACTTTGGAAACCTGTTTGGCTGTTTCTATTGAGTGAGATACACACCTGTCCTACAACCAGCAATTCTCTTTTTTTATGAATCCTCACCTGAGGATATTTTTTCCCAGCCATTTTTTTAGAGAGAGAGGAGAGAAAGGAGTGGGGGAGAAAGAAACGTCAATGTGAGAGAGAGAGAGACACACATCCACTGGCTGCCTCCTGCACCTGCAACCCAGGTACATGCCCTTGACAGGAATCAAACCCATGACCCTTAGGTGTATGGGCGAGGCTCTAACCACTTAGCACCACCGGCCAGGAAAGCAGTTCTACTCTTAAACAAGAGGTTCACAGCAGCATTATTCTTGAGAGTCACAAATGGAAAACCATCCACATGTGAGGAAAAATAGAATGGCTATAGTCACGTGCTGCAATATTATCCTGCAGCAAACGAAGCATACACCACTACTACATGCCACAACATGGATGAGTTTCATAGACATAAGGCTGGGCAAAAGCCAGGCATAAAACAATTCATAACGATGATTCCACTTATAGAAAGTGCCCACAGGAGAAACCAAGATGGCGGCATAGGTAAACACCTGAACTTGCTGCCTCGCACAACTACTTCAAAACTACAACTAAAAGACAAAACGGACATAATCCAGAACCACAGGAAGGCTGGCTGATTGGAAATTCTACAACTAGAAGGAAAGAGAAAAGCACACTGAGACTCAGAGGAGGGGTGGAAGTGCAGAAGTGAAGTGCAGAGGTACGGAGGCACTCCATTGGGAGGGAGACACAAGCTCCCCACTGCTCTGAACTCCAGTTCCAGGCGGGACTCTGGGGACCCAGACTCATATGGGGAGAAACTGGACTGTTTGGCATTGGAATTCGAGGGCAGCTCTCTCTCAGAGGTGCTTGCAGCAATCATTGTTCCTGTATGATGCCATGGAACACTGCCTGGGAACCTCTTCCAGGCAGGGCTGATGGTCAACCATTGCTGTTTGCTCCACCCAAGTGATGCCCTGAGACCCGCCCCACCCAATTTGTGCACAGAGGCTTTCACTTATGAATGGCCTGGCCCTTTGAAATCTGGAACCTAACAACTGCAGCTGGGTCAAAGAGCCCCAGAGCCTCCAAAAGAATCAACAGCAGCTTGCATTGCTTTATAGCTGGGCCTCACCTTCCCAAACAAAGAGAAGGAATCTGCATATCTCTCTGTAGCTCCTGCTAGGTGGCCTCTTTCCTTGGAGATCCAAGAGCCAATGTACCCAGGTGGTCAGAGAGAGACCATCCAGACTATAACTCTTCAGATCCATAAGAGACTATCACTCAGGTGGAAGACTCAGTGAGCGCAAATGATCCTCACAGCCAATTGGCTTGGAGATCAATTCCTCCCAGTGATACCAACAACAATCAAGGCTTAACTACAACAAGGCTGTGCACCCAGCCCACAAAGGGGAGCACCAAGAGTGTCCACCTCAGGTAATTAGGGAGACTGAGCCACTGGGCCCTATAGGACACTTAGCACACAAAGCCACACTATCAGCACAGGGAAGCAGCAAAAATGCAGAGACAAAGAAACAGGTCACAAATGAAAGAAATGGAGGAAAGCAAACTATTGGATTTAGAGTTCAAAACCATGGTTATAAGGTTACTCAAGAATCTTCTAGAAACTACCAATAAATTTAGTGAGACCCTCGAGGATATGAAAAAGGACCAACTAGAAATTAAGCATACACTGACTGAAATAAAGAATAACATACAGAGATCCAACAGCAGACTAGAGCAGTGGTAGGCAAAATGCGGCTCACAAGCCACATGCAGCTCACAAGCTGCGGTTTGCCACTCTGCTGACTAATGATTTTTAAATCAAGTCAAAGATTTGAAATACAAAGAAGCAAAAAACACCCAACTGGAAAAGCAAAAAGAATCCAAAAATACGAAGATAGTGTAAAGAGCCTCTGGGACAACTTCAAGCGTACCAACATCCGAATTATGGGGGTGCCAGAAGAAGAGAGAGCAAGATATTGAAAATCTATTTGAAGAAATGACATAAAACTTCCCCTACCTGGTGAAAGAAATAGACTTACAAGTCCAGGAAGCACAGAGAACTCCAAACAAAAGGAATCCAAAGAGGACCACACCAAGACACATCATAATTAAAATGCGAAGGACAAAAGACAGAGAGAATCTTACAAGCAGAAAGAGAAAAACAATTTGTTACCTACAAGGGAGTACCCATATGAGTGTCAACTGATTTCTCAACAGAAACTATGCAGGCCAGATGGGAGTGGCAAGAAATATTCAAAGTGATGAATAGCAAGAACCTATAACCAAGATTACTCTACCCAGCAAAGTTATCAGAATTGAAGGTCAGATAAAGAGCTTCACAGATAAGAAAAAGCTAAAGGAATTAATCACTGCCAAACCAGTACCAGTATTATATGAAATGCTGAAAGGTATTCTTTTTTTTTTTTTTTAAATATATTTTATTGATTTTGTACAGAGAGGAAGGGAGAGAGACAGAGAGCTAGAAACATCGATGAGAGAGAGTCATCGATCAGCTGCCTCCTGCACACCCCCTACTGGGGATATACCCGCAACCAAGGTACATGCCCTTGACTGGAATCGAACCCGGGTCCCTTCGGTCCCCAAGCCGACGCTCTATCCATTGAGCCAAACCAGTCTCGGCTGAAAGGTATTCTTTAAGAATAAGAGGAAGAAGAAGAAAAAGGTAAAGACAAAAACTATGAACAACAAAGTGACAACAAATACATATCTATCAACAAGTGAATCTAAAAGTCAAGTGAATAAAAAGTCTGATGAACAGAATAAACTGGTGAATGTAATAGGATCAGGGGCATAGAAAGGGACTGGACTGACAATTCTTGGGGGAAAGGGGTGTGAGGGGTGCAGGAAGAGACTGGACAAAAATCATACACCTATGGACGAGGACAGTGGTGGGGAGGGGGTAAGGGCAGAGGGTGGGGTGGGAACCGGGTAGAGGGGAGCTATGGGGGAAAAAAGAGGAACAACTGTAATAATCTCAACAATAAATATTAGTAAAATAAATAAATAAAACTGGTACTGTCCCATATAAAAACTAAAAAAAGAAAAGAAAAAAAAAAGGAAGTGCCCACAGTCCACCGAGGTATAAGAAAGCCGGAACAGAGAATTATTTTTGAGGAAGTGGCAGGGAATTTATTGCCTGGGAGGGAGGCGTGTGGGTGCTGATCATCAACTGTATAGAGCTGGGTGGTGGTCACACAGGGGTACATACTTGTACACATTCACTGGGCTGTCTGCTTAAGAGCTGTGCTCTTATGTGTATACACGTACACTGTATTTCAGTGAAGAAGTTAGGGCTGTCTGCCAAGGCCCCAGGGGGGATGTGGAGGAACACCTGGGTAGTAACACCCAGCATCTCCAAACCCACGGGAAGCAGCGTCTGCCTTGTGTGTCAGACGCGGGTTTACGGACACAGCCCTGGTCCCGGGGGGAGGGGAGTCCCCTGTACCCGGGCTCACAGAAGGAGAGGGGGGACAGCAATGCAGGGGCCACGGCTTATGGACCAGGGCTCCATCCCTCTCTCTTGTTGCTATGACATCCCCCATTTCTCTGTGGCCCCTTCCCTGAGGATCCAAACAGGCCACTGCTCCCTGGTGCCATTACTGCTGCCGAACGTAAGGGTAGACTCCGCGTGACTATGCACGCCGTACTCACAACGTGCTTCTAGCAGAGACCTTCACCGCAGCACCGAGTCCATCGCTAAGCGCTGTGCACACGTGCACACATTACACCTGCCCAGGAACAATGTCTCCCGCTCTTCTCTCTCCCCTGCTCTTGAACTTGTAGTCTGCCCCTCAGCGCCCCTCTCCCCCCCTGTGAGAAGAACTTCCTGGGATTTAAATGTAACGAACTCATCCTCTTATAAAACAGCACTTCGGCTCCTGGCTGGCTGGCTCAGCGGGTCCCAATCCCCCTCTGCGCCAACAGGCGGTGGGTCTGATTCCTGGTCCGGACACACCCCTTGGCTGCAGGTTTAATCCCTGGTTGGGGTGCACATGGGAGGGAACTGATGGATGTTTCTCCGTCCTCCCTCCCCCTCTAAAAACCAGTGACTGTGTCTTCCGGTGAGGATTAAGGAAAGAGCAGACAGCACTGTTTTTTTCCAGTTGGGCTTGTGGCTCCAACAGAGATGCGGAGGGTGCCGGCAGCAACTCAGAACTCTGCAGCTCTCACGGATGGAGCACGCTGCAGGGGGCCGCCCCTCCCCGGCCCCCTGCGGGGCCTGCAGCCAGCCCTTTAGGTGGCCCGACGGCCCCCCTCTACCGGCCGGGACCGGGAACAGTGGGCTGCTGGCACCGGGGCTCTGGATGCGCCTTGACTGGAAGTTTGGAAACTGGGTGCGCAGAGCATGAGACAGGCATTGGCAAGCTCGCTCTGCCTGGCTCCCGTGGATCAGCAATACCCGCCGGTCCAGTGGGCATTCCTCCAGCCCCAGTTCTGAGGAAACTCAGAGACAAGAAATGAGGGTTAAAAAACACAGTAAAAAAGACATTCCTAGGAAGCGCTTGGCACGACTGCAGACGGCATCCTAAATTGGCAGGGAGCTTCCCAATTATTTCCCAGACAGCGCCACGCAGCCCTCGGCAGGGGGCGTGCAGCACAGACCGGGACAAGCGCTTCTGCACGGGACGGAATTAGTCCAGTTACTCACGCACACGCAGAAGCACTAATTAGTTGTAACAGCGAGGCGCAGAACCCCGGGCGGGGCTGCCGCTCTGGCTGGCAACCGATCCACCGCCAATGCAGAGAAAAACGCACGAATCCATCCGGGGACGAGTCTGTTACGTATGAGAACCCTCTGCCATGGGAACTGTCATCCTTTACACAACGGAGAGGACACTGAATGCGTTTATCTGTATGAACAAGGAAGCCGCCAAACGCCTGTGTTCCTGCAGCGTGACACGTCCGAGCTCTCGACAGTCACGCCCCGCACGCTGGCAGCAGCGGGTCCTCCCCTCCCCGCACACCGGGAACGGAGAGGGGGGAACGGAGAGGGGGGAACGGAGAGGGGGGAACGGAGAGGGGGGAATGGAGAGGGGGGAACGGAGAGGGGAACTTTGCCAAATCGCCTCTTTCTGGGTTGCCCCAAGTGGGGCTGTGCTCTCTGCGGGGGAAGCCCGCCCGCTGCGCACATCTGTACGGTGCCCAGCTGGCTGTGAGCGAGGCCAGCCACAGGGCCCTTAAAGGGACAACAGCCTTTACTGGACATCACGAGTTTAGCTTCATTTAAAAAAATTATTGGACCCTCAGTAAGTAGTACTTTTTATCCCTATTCACAGCCCGGAAAAAGAAACCGGAGTTGATTTGATCAGTGGTTTGACAGTAGGACCCCCAGGACACAGTGAGCGAGATCAAAGGCGGGGGTAGGGTGGAGGGGGAGGCCAAGACCGGCTGTGGCTGGCCTCTCTCTCGTTCCAAGGAAAGGGGTTAACACCGTGGATGATACACAGCCCAAGGCCACGAGCTCTACATTTCACAAACCCAATTTTAGAGCATTCAACTACCGTCAGAGCGAGCTGGATCTTCGTTTATCCTATGGGCCGCTTTGGCAGCAGAAAGCGTTTTCTGGAGGACACCGGTCATTGGCAGCAGCGGAAGGAGCTTCATGCCAACCAAAGAACAGGAATTACAAACAGCTGGGAAAATGAGGTTCCTCCCATAGACGCAGACTTTCCAGCGCAGAGTGGGAAGTGCCCGACTGGCCTGCAGGTCCTGGGCGAAGGCCCTCTCGCTCTAAGGAAGCCTGAGCAGCTGACAGCGATGTACCCGTGGGGAGGGCGTGAATGTGGGGGGACATGGGACTCGGAGAATAGACAGTCCACTGTGCCGGCCAGGTAAGGGATGGTCCATACTAGTCCTGGCTGTTCCCACAGCCAGGCATGCTGACTCCCGGCAGGCCCTAGGTCCCCATTCTTTTGTTGTTGTTAATTCTCACCAGAGGATATTTTCCCATTGATTTTTAGAGAGAATGAAAGGGAGGTGGAGACACAGACAAAGAAACATCGATGTGAGAAAGACGTCAACTGGTTGCCTCCCTCATGCGCCTGACCAGGGCTAGGATCGAACCTGCAACTGAAGTACATGCCCTTGCAGGAACTGAATCTGGGACCCTTTAGTCCGAGGGCCAATGCTCTATCTACTGAGCCAAACTGGCCAGGGCTGAGAGCCTCAATTCTTGATGGGAAATGAGGACATTTCACTTGTGAATTCATGCCAGACAGAAAGTTTCTTTCAGGCAGAGCAGCTTTTCCGTACTCCTGTACTTCTTTTCCTTCTTCTCTCCACGCTCTACCTTGCAGCCCTCAGCAGAGTGCCTGATGGGTAACAGAGGCTGGTGCAACCCCGACCTGCAGGGTCAGGGCCAGGCTGGAAGTTAGCACCGAGCACCAGGTAACGCAGGCGGCGAGGGGTCCACAAGACTGACTATGCTGCTGCGGATAAACATTTCCTTTTTTCTAGCCCTCAGCTTCAGAACGCGTGCAGAGGCACTTTGTTCCTTGTAAGGAAGCATACGACATTCACGCTGTTAACACCATCAACCTTGAGCAAACTCCTTCCAGCCTTTTCTATTCAACATTATCCGAGGCCCTGCTATGGGCCACGTTCCAAGCTGAATGCATATGCAAAAAGCATGGAGGGAGGAAAATTGCTAATTTGCCCTAAAGAGGTTCGTCACTCAGAGGGTAGCTCAGCCAGCTGACGGTGCCAGTAACAAGTGATCTTCGCCTAAAGTGCATCCTTATCCCACATTCCAAGGCTTCCCGCAACAGCTGACCCCGAGCCCGCGGGCGGGGCGCCTGGAGCTCTCGCACACCTGGCCGACCACCTGCACACACACACACACACACACGCACACACACACACACACACACACACGATGCTGCAGCAGCACCCACCCCACCCCTGGGCTGCAGCGCCCTTAGTCTCTGGCCCTGGCACCCAGGCCTGCTCAGCAAGGCTTTCTTGGGAGCAGATGCTACACCCGGGGAGGCTGGGAGCCATGATCCCGTTCAAGGGGTTGTTTCTGCTAACTGTGAGCTTGGGGATTCAGCTGAGGCCAGTTGACAGGTGCCAAAAAGGACAAAAGTGGCCATGAAGCCATTTCCTTCCGTGGGAAATAAGAAGGCTATCCAGGCTCACCAAGGGGTCAGCCAGGGCCTTTTCCCGCCACCGGCAGAAGCAGGGTGCAGGATGCAGGCCTTGCTGGGTTTGGTGGGCAGCTTCTTGGTTCCTGCCGACCGCGTCCACCAGCCCAGGGGAGCAGCAGCAGAGAGCACGAGCCAGCACCCCACAGGCTCCCTCTGAAAGCCCAGGTCTCCACCCCGAGGCAGAACGACACTCCCACTTGCTCGGTCCCAGCCCTGTGCGCGGACCAGAGAGAACTCTGTGACACTGCTCTGGGGCTAGTGGCTCGGCACAGAATGGAAGCAAGCGTGCCCTGTGGGTGGCGATGCATTTCTTCTGAGCAGAGCCAGCCCAGCCCACGCAGTGAGGCCAGAACCACGACCAGGCCCGGGGAGACGGCACCCAGGGCCGGCCCGGCGGGTGGAGGTGGCGCTGCCTCCCGGCCTCTCCTCCCCGCGGGGCAGCTGAGTGCTGCTTCTGTGCGGCCCCTCAGTACCTGCAGGTCTTTGTCATGGCCCTGCCTCTCCAGGACCAGCACCCGGTCCTGCAGCTCCTCCACGGTCCCCTGCAGCAGGTCGTTCTCCTGCAAGGTGGCGCTGAGCCGGAGCTCCAGCTCCCGCTTCCGATCCGACAGCATCTTGATCTGAGGGGGGGAAAGGGGGAGTTACATCCGGCTGAAGCGTGGGAGAGGGGAGGGGCCAGCCTCCAGGCACGCACATCCTCTGCCCAGGGGCCCCCATCTCTGAGACGGAAGCTGTGACCCCCTCCGCTACAGAGAACACCCCTCCCGTCGAGAAACCTGGGAAGGGGTGGGAGTGGAGTTTTGGGAAGGCTGAAATGTGGGGTGCCATGCGGGGAAAGGGACGGGTAGTGCTCTGGAATTTCCAGCGATAAGACAGGAGAGCCCCACCCTGCCGGCCCACAACTTGACTCCAATCCCACAGTTTGCTCGGGAGAACCTAACCCTCTGCGCCCTTCTCCTCACGTCACACGCGCACAGACGCCCACGCCTGCCCTGGAGCCGCTGTCTCCCTGTCTGTCTTTCCCCACTCTGGCGGGTCTCGCTCCGGGGTCCCCGCTCAGACCCGAGTTAGTGGGGAGCTGGCAGTGCCTGCACCAGCCTGTGCCCTGGGAGGGAGCAGCAGGGACACGGGGGTGACGGACTCACTCCCGGTGTCTGTTTTGCCTGAGCAAGTAGTTGGTGGACAGAGCCCTTTCTCTCCTTTCCCGAGGCAGGCGGGGGTGCTGGTCCACAGAACGCCCAGCCCGTCTCCAGAGAGACATTAATCTTTTAGAAGGGCTGTCCGGTTGCTTCAGTTTCAGGAAAACAGAGGGAAGGGATGCCAAGTGTTCTCTGGCCTCACGGTCTGCGGGTGGCAGCTGGGCCAGCGATGCTTCATCGCCGAGCACCGCCCCGCTCGGGGCTACGGGAAGCTTTCCCAAGTCCCCCCAGAGGCCGGTGGCCTTGGGAGAGGGGGCGTCTAGGAGCCCCTGCAGGTACCCGGGCTCCTCCTCCTCCTCCTCAGCTTCCTGCTGGACTGATTCTCAACCAGCATCTCGCTTGTCAAGAGTCTCCTGACATGGCTGCGAGCTTCTCCTGCTCGGTCTCGTGTGGGTGACCATTCACTGAGGGGGGCCCGCCTGGATCTCCCCACCGCTCCCCTGCTTCCCGCCGCCCTCACTCACTCTCTGCACTGGAGTTCTGCTCCCGGGGCACAGATCTCCATGGCCACCAACCTATCAGATAGGAGGCCGTCCCGGGAAACCAAGTATGTGGCCTCTGCCCAGAGATCAGGTATCTGTCACACAAAGCGGCCCTGTCTCTCCAGCCCGCCCCGGGAGGGGACGGGGGGAGCAGGCCCCTTTTGTGAATGGGCCCCCTCTTCCCTCCCTGAAGCCACGTAAGCACGAAAGGAATTCTTACTCTGGCTGGTTTTCATATAAACCCCCTCTGACCTTCCCATTTCCTTCCCAAGTTCACTCCATGGAGCCATGAGGCAAGTTCTGAGAGACAGCCCGGCTCCGGGAAGTCACTTGTTTGAAACGAGTAACGCCACAGCCCGGGTTTTCACAGGGAGAGTGCTGCTGGGAGCAAGGAATCGGCAGGAGGCGGCCAACTCCCCCACCCTCCTCCCCTCGCCCCCTTTACCCCCCCGGGAACTTGTGACCACATCTGGCAATGCACATGCCTGGGAATGGGCCCGTGCTGCGAGGGTCTGGGGATGTGGAAGCGGAGGGGGTGCAGGAGAGAGAGGACAGGCAACTCGAGGAGCCAGGTCTTGGTGGCGGCAGGTGAGCGGCATCATGCACACAGACAGACAGACATGCCAAGCCCATGGACACAGACAGACATGCCAAGCCCAAGGAGACAGACTACTTACTTCAAGGACCTGCTGCTCAATCCCAGGGGAGGGAGGGAGGACGGGAAGGAGAGGCAGGAGGAGAGAGAAGACGTGGACAGACTTTAGGGAAACACCGTTGGGTCCTTTATGAAGCAGGGAGCAGCCTGCTTCTCCGGCCCGACAGGTTGGCGGGTTCCTTAACCACAGTGGGTGCATGTGTGTCTGGCCCTGGTCTGTCCTCAAAGTGTGACTCAGCCAGGGGGGTCCTTGGAGCAGATCAGGGAGCAGCTGCCCAGGAAAAAGCCCGTTTGGGCTGCCAGTATGACCGCCCCCCCTCCCCACCCACACCTGCGTTCTCACAGGACGGCTCCTCAGTGCCACGCTGCCCTGCCCTCCCGCCCACTCAGGGCCACAGACCCAACTGTCGATGACATGACCACCCTCACCCGCCGTGCTTCCCATTATAAACTTACCAAGTCCTCACCACCCCCCTCGGAAGTAGCTACTCTACTCTGCTCCCTTTAGAGGTGAGAACAGGCCCCGATCAGGTGAGTACCCTGGGCCCAGATGGAGGGGGGAGAGGAAGACTCCCTTTTCACCTTCTACTGAGGACGGCCAGTGCTTGTGGAGGAATCAGCACATTCAGCACAAGCAGGTCATTTTCAAACACTGAGCAGTCAGTCACTCTGAGCCTTCTTTCCAGACCACAGGCTCCCCAGGGGCGCGGGGCCCATGCGGCCCCTAGCCTCTCGCAGTTGTCCCTCTGGGGATCTGAGAGAGCGGGATTTGTCCCTCTGGGGATCTGAGAGAGCGGGTTCTGTCCCTCTGGGGATCTGAGAGAGCGGGTTCCGTCCCTCTGGGGATCTGAGAGAGCGGGTTCCGTCCCTCTGGGGATCTGAGAGAGCGGGTTCTGTCCCTCTGGGGATCTGAGAGAGCGGGTTCCTTCCCTCTGGGGATCTGAGAGAGCGGGTTCTGTCCCTCTGGGGATCTGAGAGAGCGGGTTCCGTCCCTCTGGGGATCTGAGAGAGCGGGTTCTGTCCCTCTGGGGATCTGAGAGAGCGGGTTCCGTCCCTCTGGGGATCTGAGAGAGCGGGTTCTGTCCCTCTGGCGATCTGAGAGAGCGGGATTTGTCCCTCTGGGGATCTGAGAGAGCGGGATTTGTCCCTCTGGGGATCTGAGAGAGCGGGATTTGTCCCTCTGGGGATCTGAGAGAGCGGGTTCTGTCCCTCTGGCGATCTGAGAGAGCGGGATTTGTCCCTCTGGGGATCTGAGAGAGCGGGATTTGTCCCTCTGGGGATCTGAGAGAGCGGGTTCCTTCCCTCTGGGGATCTGAGAGATCGGGATTTGTCCCTCTGGGGATCTGAGAGAGCGGGATTTGTCCCTCTGGGGATCTGAGAGAGCGGGTTCCTTCCCTCTGGGGATCTGAGAGATCGGGATTTGTCCCTCTGGGGATCTGAGAGAGCGGGATTTGTCCCTCTGGGGATCTGAGAGAGCGGGTTCCTTCTCTCTGGGGATCTGAGAGAGCGGGTTCCGTCCCTCTGGGGATCTGAGAGAGCGGGTTCCTTCCCTCTGGGGATCTGAGAGAGCGGGATTTGTCCCTCTGGGGATCTGAGAGAGCGGGTTCCTTCCCTCTGGGGATCTGAGAGATCGGGATTTGTCCCTCTGGGGATCTGAGAGGTCGGGATTTGTCCCTCTGGGGATCTGAGAGAGCGGGTTCCGTCCCTCTGGGGATCTGAGAGCACAGGGTGTGTTCCCCGGGTCAGAGGGCTCCTTATCGAAGAGCCCCGATGCAGTGCTCGCACATGGAGCACTCGCAGCCCCGAGCATTGCGGCCCCGAGCTCACCTCGGCCTGCAGGCTCTCCAGGCGGATGATGTGCTGGCTGGTGGAGGAGTTCTTCTCCCGGAAGTCTTCTCTGAGGGCGTGGACCTGCAGGGAGAGCTGCCTCTCCACCTCCGATGCCTGCAAGCAGAGGAGACCTTCAGAGGCTGTGCCAAGGTGCCTGCTCCTATGGTTTGCCTTTCCTTTCCTTTCTCGAGCGTCTCTCTGCAGCTCTCCTCTGTGAGTGGAAGAGGAGAAGCTGGCTTCCTCCCCTGGGCCTGACGGCCCTCCAGCGCCCACACGAGACGAGCCCCTGCCCTGCCCTGCCTCCGCCGTCACTGGCTCGGTCGGGGTCCCGGACCATGCTGCTGGCCAGAGGCAAAGGTCTAGAAGAGAGCCAGCCTGGGAAGGTTACCATCATTGTCGTTACTGGGTACATGGCAGCGGCTCAGCAAAGCCTCAGGGTGTCACCCCAAAGAATCAGACACACACACCCACGCCCGGAGAAACCCCGGTATTTCTCCCATCACTTCCTCAGCGGGCCCCGGGGGCCATCGCAGCCTGCATTTCTCACGTCCACTCTACACGGGCACTATTTAAAACTCTGCCATGCCTTACACTCCTCAAGGACATTATTTTGCAACATCTTTTTATGTTGTTAATCCTCACCAGAGGATATTTTTCCCTCTGATTTTTAAGGAGGGTAGAAAGGAGAGGGAAAGAGAGAGAGAAACATCGATTGGTTGCCTCCCACACACACCCAACTGGGGCCAGGGATCAAACCTGCAACCTAGGTACGTACCCTTGACCAGGAATCGAACCCGAGACCCTCCGGTGCGCAGGCCGGTGCTCTTAACCAGCTAGCATACCGGCCAGGGCTATTTTGCAACTTTAATTCTCTGGGGAGCACTGGCTGAGGTGCTCATGTCCCACCCTCGCCCACTATTCTCCAATGCTAAAACAGCAACCCCCGGCATCCTGGTGGGTCAGCACCTTCTCGAATATGCAGGCGAGTGTTCTGAAAGAACGCTCCCTGGATAAGACACGGCTCGAGTCTTCCTCCGGAGGCTCCAGCCCAGCCCCACTCAGGCGCTCCCTGAGCACTGCCCAGCGCAGGGGAGAGCCTCCGGACCAGCAAGCAACGGCCTCCGTGCTTCCTGAGGCCAAATGGGGTCAGTGAGCTTTATGGGTTCCGGGGCGAGATCACCGTGTGCCCAGAGGCTCAGGAAAGGCTTTCTGGAGAAGGCAGGACGTCATGACGCTGAAACGGTAGGCTAGCTGTTCAATGAGGCTCTTGCGGTAATGGTTACACGGTCAGTACTTCTTTTTATCTTCAAGTATTATATAATCAACTGTCCATCTTTTGAGAGGTCCCAGAGATTCAACAAATGTTGATTCCCCCTATTCCCAACAAGAGAGACACATAAGAAGACTCTTAACCTATAGTTCTAATTTTAAAACAGTAATTATCGCCCTGTCCAGGTAGCTCAGTGGGCTGGAGCATCGTCCTGATATACCAACATTGTGGGTTCAATCCCCGGTCAGGGCACATACAAGACTCAACCAATGAATGCATGAATAAATGGAACAACAAATTGATGTTTCTCTCTCAAATCAATAAATAAAAAAATTATAAAACACAACAGAATAAAATGAAACCACCATTTCCCCTTCATATTCTAAATTTAATTTCTGACACTGCCAGCTTGTCTCAGACTTTTTTTATTTTTATTTTTATTAAATAATTATCTCTGTACATATTTTACCATTGCCCCCCCTCCCATATATACCCACCCTCCCCAGAGTTTTGTGTCCATTGGTTGTACTTATATGCATGTATACAAGTCCTTCGGTTGATCTCTTATCTCCCCCAGATCTCCCTCCCTTCCCCGCTGTAATTTGACAATCTACTTGTTGCTTTACTGTCTCTATATCTATCTTTTGGTTCTTCCGTTTATAATGTTCTTTATCATCCATAAATAAGTGAGGTCATGTGGTGTTTCTCTTTCATTGACTGGCTTATTTCACTCAGCATGATATTCTCCAATTCCACTCAGGTTGCTGCAAATGATCACTTAGAAATATCAGTCACCCTTGCCTAAAAATAACATAATATTTACTGAGTCTATGTGCCAAGAACCTTGCTAAATGCTTTAAATGCATTATCTCAATTACCTCACCTAAGTAAGGCCTAGTGCCTTCAATTTAATCCTGAGGGAACAGGAAGTGAGGAAACCTGCCCAGCACCTCAGTAAGTGATGACATCAGAACAGCAACCTTTGGGTCATCTTACTCCCAAATTAGGACTTCTTTTATCTTGAAATAGTTTTTCCCATTTCTATGGCTCACTATCAAAACCCAACTTTATGAGTCCAACTTAGCAAGGCTTCTTCTTCTTCTTCTTCTTCTTCTTTTTTTTAATAAGCAATTTTACTTAAGACTTATAATCTCTTTGAATAGAATTTAGGGCCCATGAGGAAAATCCCATCTCATAAGTCTGCAGTGTGACTGCCTGCACTGGATTCAGTTGCCACCAGGGTTTCACATATGTGTAGATTGCTAAGTGCTGGGCAATGCAGGCAGCAGACTTTATTCTGAGCATCACCACCTTGACACGAATCATGAGACAGCCCCGCCACGGAGATGCGCTGACGACTACGAATCTAGCCCAGGCGGCCAGAGGCGTCTCCTCTCCAAGCCCTCCCCCTAGAAATGAAATGCATCGCTTCCCACCAGGAAGCCCGACTCCAGCGCCTGGGTGCCCAACCACTGAGCATAAGGTCTCCTTTAATGCCTGACTCCTCAGGTGTGCCAAGGACACGGTGTCAGAAAGGCCTTTAATCCACACCTCTCATCCGAATGCCCAGCAGCCCCACGAAGCAGGAACCCAGCAGTCACGGGCCTCATTTTGCAGACAGGGAGGTGGAGGCTGACAGGGAGCGGCACTGCCTGGTCCCTGGCCGACAGGTTCTGTGCCCCCACCTCCCACCTCCCACCAGGTGGCCAGTCATATGCTGTGATGATGGTGGAGGGGATGGATAAACCAGACAGATGGATAAAGCTACCATTTGCAGGGAACTAATGCACCTTTCAAAAAAAATTATTTTCTTTTTTCAGAGATGGACTCTGGCTTAGATCTTTAGACCCATCAGAATGAGAATTATCTACTTCTGCACATAAATTAAATAACACAACTTGAACGTTCTAAATGCTTTCTGATCAAAGTACCAGGAAACCTACAAGGCCCTTTTAGCTCCATAAACAATGTCACAGCTTCTTTGAAGTTCAAGTTGGAGAGCCAGTTAGCCAGGGCAACTAAAGGGGCCCACTTCATTGAGAGGAGATGGCCTGATGGGAAGAAAGAGTCAGGTGGCCAGGGTTCCAGTTCTACCATCGAATGTGGAAAAGTTGTTATATAATTTGACCTCTTTCCCAAATTATAGACATGTCTCCTTTACACAGTAACTCCAAAAGGGTGGGTCTACAGGAACACCCATTTCCCTATTTCATACTCAGGACTTTGTGGATTGAGTCAAATCACCGAAGTTTAGGGAAATAAAGGAAGAAATACTGCATAGCTACAAATTTAGGGCAACTGTGTGAAATATTAAACTTTCCAAGGATCAGTTGTTTTTTCTCAAAAACCGAGTACTGAGCCCTGGTCGGCTTGGCTCAGTTGGTTAGGCTTTGTTTTGTGCTCCAAAGGTTGCCAGTTCGATTCGCAGTCAGTGTACGTGCCCAGGTTGTAGGCTTGATCCCTGGTAGGGAAGACGGCCGATAGATGTTTCTCTATTATGTGTTGCTTCCCTCTCTCCCCACCTTCCTCTCCCTAAAAATCAATAAAAATATTTTTAAAATCCACACACAAAAACCAGGTACTGAGAACACCAGGGATATGTCACAGGGTGCTGTCATATCCACAGTCCACTTCGGGGTCGGCAGTGCAAACAGCTTGTTAGGTGACTCAGCCAACATCACGAAGGTGTGGGTCAAGCTAGAAAATAGGGGGAAATACAGAAACATTTAGCAGTCATAGCTTTCGGTCCTGGTCTCCTGGTGACCTTTCAAAGCTATTCAATAGCCAGCCAGTCATGTTCATTGGAGATGCAAATTTTCCTACTTAGGGTTAGGGCAGCAGTCATGGCCCTTGGAAATAAGAGTTTCCCTACTTCCAGGTTTTGGACGAGGAGGTGGTGGTGGCGGCATGATCTTAGAACAAGTCATTCTGAAAATGGAACATGGCAAGCATGGGACTCATGGTTTACTTCTGATCATGTTGAGTTTGGGCCACCATGTCTGATTAAGTAGCCAGGAACAGCTAGGCAAAACTGTGGCAAAGAATGCCACCTGTAATCAATAACACAACAAAGATGGTATGGTTTTAGCTCTGGTTTTTCTTGTTCTTCAACTCAAAATTTTTTTCTATGAGAGTAACAAGTGTTCAGAATTTTTTTTTTTTAAAGAAGGAATTCTTTTTTTTTTGTTAAATATATTTTATTGATTTTTTTACAGAGAGGAGGAGAGAGGGATAGAGAGCTAGAAATGTCGATGAGAGAGAAACATCGACCAGCTGCCTCTTGCACACCCCCTACCGGGGATGTGCCCGCAACCAATGTACATGCCCTTGACCGGAATCGAACCTGGGACCTTTCAGTCTGCAGACCGACGCTCTACCACTGAGCCAAACCGGTTTCGGCAAGTGTTCAGAATTTTAAAAAGCAGGGGTGAGGGTGGATCAAAGGGTCAAAATGAAAGTTAAAGTCCCCATTCTCCAGTGGCAGCTCTGATACCATCCACACTGGAGTTGTTTCTTGTGATTCTTTCTCTGAATTTTCTATTCATATCTATCGAAAACATTACCAAAAAATTTACCTTTGCCGGGACTGGTTTGGCTCAATGGACAGAGCGTCGTCGGCTTGGGGACTGAAGGGTCCCGGGTTCAATTCCGGTCAAGGGCATGTACCTTGGTTGCGGGCATATCCCCGGTAGGAGGTGTGCAAGAGGCAGCTGATCGATGACTCTCTCATCGATGTTTCTAACTATCTCTCTCCTCTCCTCTCTGTATAAAATCAATAAAATATATTTTAAAAAATTTACCTTTAAAAATACATATTTTAACATCTTTCCATGTCAATATGTAG